CAGTGGTCTAGCTTAGATCGATTCATGAATCTGACTATTAAAATTTTGTCTTTTCATTCATTGGAAAAATACATATTTCTAATAATAATGATAATATTAATAATAAATATCATGTTACATATGCTTAACGATATATTTTGAGGTTATGACCATAAATATTATAAAAATATTAATTTAATTATTATAAAATTGTGGCCACAATATGTCTAGATGTACACTTTCGAATTCGGATTAATACTAGTGAGAGCGACATTCCTAAGAACTCATTGTTACCAAAAAAACAATATCTTAACAAATTATTGGTTTTTATATTCATCTCACAAATAACAATATTCATCTAGTATTCATCTAGTGTGCATTCCGTTCTAAATAACAAACAACATGCATTTTGAATAGATTCTATGTGAAACAGTTTTTTTATTCCCCTTATTCCCTTATTTCCCTTATCTGACATTTTTTAACCTAATAATTGAACGTCGGTAAAATCGATAAATAACTGAGTGCTTTTTGATTAAAGTGGTTATCTTGTTTCTGATGAGTGAAATAAATTTGCTTCTGTTAACAGTCTTTCCATTCGACTATGTCATGAGAACCTCAGTGTTCTCTTGTTCGAAGTATCAGCTTTGATATTTAATACATCGAAAGTGTTATATTTTAATCAGTCTATGATATAGCCATATTTCTGATGTGATTTATTCAACGGACTACACAGTCACTCACAGGGACCGGTAGGTAATCTATCTTTACGTTAACATTCATATGAATAGTAAGTAATTTGTCTGAGGGTTTATGGAGATTGTTAAATGATGTTGAGATCATGAACCTACTTTTGTTAGACAACCACTGAAAACCAGGAAGCACTGAATATTCACTTCATTCTAATATGAGATGTGCTTCGTAGTAGAACGTAACAATTGTCCTGTGCTTCCTTTTCTTATTTTAACTTAATTCATGATCGCAATAGTAAATTATTTCCATTTAACTCCTTACAAATTACTTATGTAGATAACTACTTATCCTGCTTTTTCTTTTAAAAACAAACATTTTAAAATTATCACATACTTATCTGAAAATTTACAAGTTGAAATTGAACAAAGTATTAGTGTATTGACAAATATTTAATCGACACTTTTTACATACTTATCAAGTTGTTTTTTACATTTGTGAAAGGGAGACTTGATGTAGTTGATAAAAAGGACAGAAGTCATATTATCGATTGAGTGGCGGATTTTTTCTTGACTAAGTGGTTAATTAGTCTTTTTTTGTATTTATTTTCAAGTAGTCATGCTTGCGTTGTTCATTTTGTCTAGTGAGAAAAAGAGGAGAGCGTGTAATTGAAAAGTTTGTTTTGCGTCTTAAGTCATTATTTACAAAGATTAGAATGATTTATAGTGATTGTATCTAGTTCATGAATTTGGTTAAACATATACGTTAAATATATCCATATTTATATGATGTTCACTCCGCGACTGAAAACCATAACCGCTCGCTTCAAACGCCATCGCATTATCCACTTAGTTACTGAGTCCTGATAGCCACTTGCTTGTGCAGTAGGGCGAAGTTTAAATTCACTTGGTATATATACGAAATGCAACTCATTTACTGTAGTCAATTTTCGGATCACATTATTCTTGTGAATACTAGCGATATTATTTGAATGTATTAATTGAAACAAATAGAATCTGATTTATTTTTGTATTGTTTGTTTGAATCTCCCCATTGTTGTTTAGGACTTTAATTGATCAGTCTCTTATTGACATATGTACATCCTGTACGGATTGATGAAACACGCGTCCTGGATTCCACTACTAGCCACCATCCATCTCTGCTTATAAGTAGAATATGATTTTGAAAGTCTAATATTATAACCACTAAGAGATCAGGGTAGGTGACCAAGTACATGTTAATGTGCTCTAGATTTTATTCACAAGATTTCTAATAACACGACAAAACAGAAATTTTTTTCCTTTGAAAGGAAACTCATTTTATTTTAATTTGGAATCAGTGGAAATCTTGTTCTTAACAAACAAAAAATATGATAACTATATTTATCAAGTGTATTGAAATTTTATAATAAAACAAAGTGTATGAATTTACTGTCCATAAATTACACGTTGTATATATGTTAATCATGAAGAATGTTAGTATTTAATATCCACTATATTTACAGTGAATACCATTATGAACTGAAGTCAACTAAAATAAAACCCATTGGATATCAAAGCGACTTGAATGTCTGCTTTATTTTTAAATTAAAATGTATCACTGAATAAATTTATGTGATAAATGATTTATTTCTCTTATTAATGAATTTCGTGGAGGTTAGTCTATTTTCAAAGTGATTTCTGTAATGCACTGACATTAGTTAGGTTTATCACTGAAAATCAACAATCACTAGATAATGGTGTCGTCCTAGGATCGGACTACTTAGCAGAATAGATTCATGACCCCATCAACTGTCAAACAAAAAAAGATTACGGTCTATTAACAACAATGAACTCTTTCTACTTCTATTGTAGCATCAATTATTCCATACTATGATAATCCACTAGCATAGGCGATGTTTGTCTCATTCCTTAGATGAATAATATCCATTGTTTAACATCTAAAAAATAATCTATCTAATACCTATAGCTGTTAAATGATAAAAAAGATGATTGATTTGTATGCCATGTTAAAAATCTACTAACAAATTCGTTTTTCATTAGTTGAGATCGTGAGTCAATTAAAGCTAGACCACCATGGAAAACCTGGAAGCACTGCACGGCCATTTCGTCCTATTGTGGGACTCCTCGGCAGTGTGTTCAAAGCCCTTGCCTCGCTAGATTAAAACTCAGTTGATTTATAAATATTTTTATTATTCTTTATCTTGATCACTTTAAAATGATTATAAATTTATTATAAATACCTTGATTCACACTTTATCATACCCTGTTTTTTGTGTAGCTTCTTCCAAAAAAAAGCAATCGTTGCTATTTTGGAAATAAAAAAGTGATTATTTATTTCAAGTGTACATTTTAATCATTCAAAAATAGGATGATTTTTAAAAAAAATAAATAATTCCATTTAGCAGATAAGATTCATTAGTTCAAGACTTATCCAATGTGACAATCATACTGTGTTCAATTTAATGTAGAAAAGGAATTATGGTTATGCAATCCATTTTTTTCAGTTAAATGGAAATATTCCAGTGGTTGAAATCATGAAGCAATTGAAGCTAGACCACCATGGAAAACTTGGAGGCACTGGACGGCCGTTTCGTCCTAGTACGAGACTCTTCAGCAGTGCGTATCCACGATCCCGCTCCTCGCAAGATTCGAACCCAGGACCTATCAGTCTCGCGCCAGGCGCTTAACCAACTAGACCACTGAGCCGGCATCCAACGGTGTTAATGTCTAACTTCAACCAATCCACTAAGTTGCGCCACCGTCCACCATTGTCTTCAGTGAGTTCCTATCTCACAACAGACCTGGTTGAACTCCACTGATAACGAGGAGTCCCATACTAGGACGAAACGGCCGTCTAGTGCTTCCAGGTTTTCCATGGTGGTCTAGCTTCAATTGACTCATGATTTCGGCAAGTGAAATTTCTGAAAATCTTCACAAAATCCAATCTGATAAAAATGGAAATATATTTGAATTTAAATTCATTTGTCATTTATCTGAAATACTCTTTATAATCTACTGAGTAAGAGAAATAAAAAAATTCCCACTTTTGAATTTACATGATTATGCTTTTAAATACAAAGGAAAAATATGTTGATTGAAAATTTTAATGTATGTTTCACATTGGTAAATCACATGAAATATCTGAAATTTTTTATTGTATCCAAACAAATATTGATAACCAGAAGGGGTAGTGTGGATATTATAGTAATTTCATTAGTTGAATTCATGAGTCAATTGAAATTAGACTACCACAGAAAACCTAGAAGCACTGGAAATATTGATAAATAGGTTCTATTCAAACAGGATCACACATATATATACACATACCTTAGTAAACACATACCAACAGAAGCGTATATACAAATAGATAAACATCTACACTAACATCCAAGTGGGCATATATATATATATATATATATATATATATACATGCTTACATCTATCCCCCCCACAATAAGTACTAATTACATTAGACATATTTGATATGTCTTAGTCAATTTATGCATGACTAATTATTGACTGTTGCATGCATTCATCAATAAAAAATAATGTTAACATGATACTTTAAATTTAACTAATTTCAATGATGATTTAATCATTAATCAACTAGTTAAATGTTAAAAAGAAACAATTTTGTAGGGTGGTGGGTTCTAAGCAAACCTTTTTTGTGGTTTTTTTGGATATTTGACATCTGTTGAAAAAAAATATTATTCAATCACGAAATTTATTTCAAGTAAAAAAAAATACAAAAAAAGGCAAAGAGACATTTTTTTGTCAAGTAAAAATGATTTATAAGCTTGATTATTTATTTTATAACGAAAGGAACAAAAATGATTAGTATACATTAAAGAGGAATAAAATATATTTGTAAAATCTCAGCGAAAGAATTTGAAGTAATTCCAACGCTTCGCCTGGCAATCTGGTCCAAGCTTTTTCAAGGATATATATTATCCCTCTTTAATGAATCACATTAACTCGGCGCCCAAATATTGTGATTAGTATACAGTTTGTTTTAATCAAGGGTACCTGATTTTTGAAAAAAAGAAATCTATTTCGTTTTTTTCCCCAGAAAAGGAACAATGTGTGAATTGAATTTTATTTGACATGAAACGAGGTGACATGAAATCTTATTATTACTCTAATTAGACTAATTTAATGTAAAACTTTCTTATGAAGTTCTTATTCTTCATTTTCATGGGTTACATTGATTTTTATTCAAATAGAGAAAAAAATTTTTCTGATGATTAATTAATCACTAACTGATTAGTATTGATTTGATTATGAGTTTTATTGATTCTTGTATTGGTTGTTTGAATTTCTGCATTGATGTTTAATATTTCAATTGGTCAGTCCCTTATTGGTATATTTACATCCTGTATGGATTGCGTCGGTATGACCTAAAGTTACAAGCATTATAATCAGAGATGAGTGAGGATACATTCAAATGACACGTCCCAGATAGGATGAAACGAGCGTTCTGGATCCCATAACTAGCTATCATCCATCTCTGTTTGAAATGTTTTATTGTTTAGTTGAAAGAGTTTGATAAAGGTCAGTTTAATTTTTAGGTGGTATTCATTACATATTGATTTCAATTGGTATATCACTGAAAACTAAACAACATTGGATAGATGTTTCATTCGAATATGGGACTCCGATGCTTCGTATTTATTACCCCACGTAGAATATAATCCAGAACATTGAGGCTTCACATTGAGTTCGTTATCTTCAAATCATTGAGTTATCATCTACTGACTTACATTTATGATCTTTCATTTATATTTACAGAAATCTTCAAAATCGAACTATGTCAGCTTATATAAACGAAAATCCCATTTTATCTGTATTTATTTCTAAGGGTGAAAAAATGATTTCTGAAAATGAAAATAAAGATAATAACTTGTTCGATGTGAAGTTACCAGCGAATATATTATGGAAAAGTCATGAGCATTTACCAGTTACCCAACCTTCCGTTACAGAATACTCTTCAAATCATATAGACAATGTGACTGCTATCACAGATATGACAAATTCACACTTCCTAACAAGATCTGATAGTATTCATCAAACTAATTTACCTGTACACAATGGTTTCAACCCAATTTACCACTCGAATGAATTACAAATACATACATCCAAAGAATTTAGAGAGTTATCATCAAATGATGGACATTTTCAATCAATAATACCTTCTAGGTCTATATCAACACCTTCATATTCAACAATGGCCACATCTTCAAATGAACAAGAAGAAAACAAAAATAACTTTCCTGAGAATTATAATCTACTATCAAGTACATATTATCAACAATTTTTATTAAAACATTACAACAGAAATGTGACTGATGAAGTCACTAATTTAATGGATGAAAACTATCGTAACTCATTGATTATGTCATCCTATGTTAATCGTTTACAACATTCAGAAAATTTAGTTTGTACAAGTAACATCAACAATCTTTTTACCAGTACTAATACTATTACAACAACAACCGCTTCTACTTCTGCTACTAACGTCACCGATATACATGCTACTAATTTCAATACAAGTAGTATAAGTCCATCGAGTCATAATCAGTCAATTCATGAAAATTATGAATTTAATAGCAATCCTACAAACTTGCAACATCATCATCATCGTCATCATTATGTTAACCCTGATGATAATAATTTTTCTGGAAATTTAAACAAGCATTATAATTCAGGAATGCATGAAAATTATTTACCTTGGACAGAATGTTGTAACAATAGTGACTATAACATTGATTATTTGAATAATGATCACAAGAGTAGTGATTACATAACAGAAACTGATTCATTGAAAAATGAACAGAGTTTTCATGTAAAACAATATCAGAGTCAACAATCCAATTGGTTGAATGATATACACACTTGGGTAAATAATAGATTTTCACATGATAATGTTAATAATGCATTAAAACCAACAATTATCAATAATGATAAGATCCCGCCTACAATTAATTCCACATTCAGTTCACTTCAACCTCATCCTTGTTCAGTCGATCAATCTGTATTTGATACCGACAGTAATAATAATAATGTGAGTAGTCAAAATCAATCATTAAATATTCAAATGAACAATCCATATTGTTTTATTACAAGAGCTGAAGATAGAAATATCGATCAAAACTCAATCGAATCATATTTATGTTCAAATTTTGAAACAGACTGTAGACGAACATTTCATTCACCCCTATCTATTGGAGAAAGATGTTTAAATTTCAGTGAAAATAATTCGAATTTTTGGTCAAATAATATGTGTAATTTATTGAACACAACTGATCGCTATAAATCAATCTTAATGGCCGCTGCTAATGTGCAATATCCAACATATAATCATCATCTTAATGACAATAATAATAACTTAACAGGACAATCAGAATATGCAACACTCTATGAAACATTTCTTTCTGCTAACAATAATGGCCCCATAGATATGAATATCGAAGCGAAATGTTCAATGTTCACTAATAATCAAACAGATAATGAAAGTGAAGTAAATGCATCGATAAATATACCTAAAAATTTATTTCCTCAATCACCATCTCCTTCATCACCGTTATCTGGTGAGACAAAAGTATCGTTGAATGTTGAACATCCACTCATTCCTCCAAGGTCGTCAGCATTATTAACATTAAATAGTAATAACAATAGCAATAATAATAATTCCAATACAATTAAACGATATATTGGTCGACCAACATGCGACTGTCCTAACTGTCAAGAATTAGATAATTTAAATTTAACGAATCCAAATATAGCAAGTGAATTAAGGCGAAAAAATCTACATAATTGTCATGTACCTGGTTGCGGTAAAGTCTACAATAAAACAAGTCATTTAAAAGCACATTTAAGATGGCATACAGGTGAACGTCCATTTGTATGTAATTGGTTATTATGTGGCAAACGATTTACACGTTCTGATGAACTGCAACGTCATTTACGTACACATACTGGTGAAAAACGTTTCCTTTGTCCTATTTGTCATAAACGTTTTCTTCGAAGTGATCATTTAAATAAACATATACGTACACATTCCGATTCGACAACAACAACCGTAAGCGAGAATAATGAACACAATCTAATTAAGTCAATTGATAAACAGTATTTAACTATTAATACAACAAACACTACCTCAACAACTACTAGTAATACCAGTACTACTAACACTTTTATCAGTAGTAATATCAATGATGATAATATTAATACTGATAGTTGTACACCTTTAAGCACTTCATGTAATCACAATATCGAAGAAAATTTTAATGAATATACTATGTGATGACAACATCACTGATGGTGAAATCAGTGGGTTTTTTTACCATCTTTAATCATAGTCATTTTTGTTACACACTTTTATTACTTCCTTAAAATATACAGACAATGACACATGGAAGTAAATGTATAGAATAAACTGTGCACCAAACCGAATACATCTAGTAATGTCATTTAATTAGTCCCTCATCCCATTCCGATCTTAACTAATTAATTGCATTTTTAACTTATTCTTCGGTTTAATGAAGAAGAAAAAAACAATCTATTTTTACTTTTCATATGACTTCCGTGTGTTTTAAGAAAAATTGGAATCTATTATTGTTTGAATTAATAAAAATGATTAATTTTTCTTTCTTTCATTTAAATACTTTTATTGTTTCGCTATTGTTTATCTATGTATAGACATGAGTGAATCAAGTTTTTGTTTTGTCTTTTGGTTTACAAATAAACAAGTTTTGAATACGTTTTTGATAACCAAAGTGGTAACTTCTTCCACATAGAGGTGGGTCGAGGATAGTTCAACCGATTTCTCTATATAATCATTAGTAGAATAAATTTGGAATATATATAATTTGACGAAATCAAGATTAGGATATTTGTAAAGATTTTTCAATTTTTTCGAATATCTTTCATTTCATCAATTGATTTCAGTTAGATAATTGGTGAAAATCATCTGAGCTTTGGTAAGCTATTTTATGCTAATTTGAAACTTTTTAACCGTTATTATTCCAAGTTACCACACCATATTAGAATAGTGGGATTAATTTATTAAGACAAATACCAGATTAGAAGAAATAGTAACAGTATCGAAATTCTGATTCGTAGAATTAAAAAGTACAGAATGATTTCAAAATCCAAGATCTAGTGGAAGGCAATGAGTGATTACATCTCTGTTATTGTGATGTCATCAAATATCTCAGAATACTAATCAAAGTAATTGTTCGGACTTTAACTTGATAATCTATACATATCAAGATGACCCAGATCAACATTTATTGACTTCATGAAATGATGTCACTTCTTAGTTTATTTGCTGTTATCTTTTCTATAACCAACTCTAACCAACATCTAGCGTACGTATCCTTGAATTCGGATGGAGTTGTAAAATAGTGTAACAAACTTCAGTAACATATGAATAAAAATTGAATAAATTGTATTTTCAATTTCAGTGTAGTTATAAGATGTTGCGGAATTTCGACTTGTGAAAAAAAAGAAGTCATAGATGATACAATAAATTACTGATAATACGCTATGAGGATCCTAACAACGGGAAACTACAAACCCATCCAAAACATTCATTATTTTTATATTTCATCATTATCAACCTATTTAAACAAATAAATAAATAAGGTTCAATAATAATAATAATAATAATAATAATAATAATAATGAAAAAAAATCAACATTATTTTATGATGCTATATGTAGAACATATCAAATAGTGGATTATTCCTATTTTAAAAACCATCTCGCGTGGATAAATTTAGGGGAAATCCAATGACCAAATATAAACTTGCCTAATGCAGTTTGAACTGAACTTTTTATATGATAGACTGCATTGTTGTTGCCCATCTGCTCAAACCAAAAATGTGTTGATGTCTGTAGCTAAAATTCAACTTTTAACAGCAAGTGTTTTATCCAATAGACCATCACTACCATTAATCTAACTGATATTAAATTTTTTTAACTAGATGACCCATGAAGATCTCATTATTACTTTACTTACGCTTGTTACTCCTCGTGAAGGAGCGTAGGCCACTCACCAGCCTTCGCCATCCAACCCTGTCCTGGGCAATCCTTTCCAGCTCTTTCCAGTTGTTATTCATCCTTTCCATATCTACTTCTACTTCCCGATGTAATGTGTTCTTTAGCCTTTCTCTTTTTCGTTTCCCTTTAGGATTCCAAGTAAGCAATTACCTCGTGACGCAGTTTGTTGATTCCCGTAATGTGTGTCCTATCCATTTTCAACGTCTTTTTGTAATTTCCTTTTCAGCTTGAAGCTGACTCATTCTCTCCCATAGTAGGCTGTTGTTGATTGTATCCAGCCAACGGACATTCAGTATCTTACGTAGACAATTGTTTGTAAATACTTTTACCTTTTTGATGATGGTTGTGGTAGTTCCCCAAGTTTCGGATCCGCGCAGTAGTACTGTCTTCGAGTGCATATTGAAGATTCTGACAATAATTGGACATCAAATGAATGAATAACACTTGAGAATGACTTGAAAGTATTGTTCAAGACAGAGTTGGTTGGAGAATTCTGTTGGGAGGCCTACACTCCTCCATGAGGGTCAACAGACGTACCTACGTGAACGAGTAAGCCCCGGTTCGCCACATTGTCCGGACATTCCATGTTCCCATGTTCACTGTTCTCCTAATTGTTAGAAGAGATATCAATCTCGCTACATCGGAAGAGTTTCAGCTTTCATCATGAAACATCAAAATTCTTCTAAACGAAGATTTTTATATTCCCAGGAAAGATTTTAAATGGTTTGAATGGTTTTTTTCTCGGCGAATGTCTTGTAGTTTATTTCTTTACTATGGGATGGATGTTGCTAACTCCATGTTCAACTTTCCTTCTTTACCTGGACTTGGGACCGGTATTAACCCCAGAAGGGTTCCAAGAGGAGTGACGCTGCTTTATTCGATGATTAACTAGTGCATTCAGTGTTTTATTCATTTCTCTTTCTATTAACATACAAAAAAGTGAAGATAATAAACACTTTATGTTTGTTAGTAAATGTGTATATGTGATGAATATTTTAATTGTGTCAAATTGTTCATCTTAATAATTCAACTTTTAACATTTATTCAAAATAATTACCTCATAAAATTATAGGTTATAAATAAGGGAGCAGATGAGAAAAGCAACTTACAGATAACGTTTCATATATTATCACTCATTCCGTTGCTGTGTCTTTCTCTGTTTCTATATGTATGTAAATTTTTGGTCACGTGTGACATGAATAAGAAATTGCGCATTTCCTTGAATTTATGTGTGCACTGATTAGTTTAACACATGATTAGATAAATAATTTTAAATTAAACATTAATGAATTTCTGAATTTTGCTCAGTTTTATTTCATTTCGTATCCTCAAAAGGGAATTAGTTATATTCGCTTCTCAATACCAACTATTCATAACCTATATCTCTTTGTGTATATTTCAAAACACTGTATATACAAGTATTTAAACTCCATTCATCTTTCATCAGACACTGTGTTTAGAACTTAAACCACTTCATGTAAATTATAAATTTTAAGATCTAAAATAGCTTCTGTTATTTGGTCATTTGCATTATACTGCCTAAGTCAAGTAGAAACACGGTCATCAGACCTTAAAGACTTGTATTATAGTGCAGTTTATTTAATAACGGATAAAACTAATTAAAAAATATTCCAGAACTTAGATGGTTTTTACTAGCAAGGTGTATTTACATATTTAAGGAAATTAATGTTGTCTGTAGAGTTCGAACTTGCATCAATCAGTTTTCTACATTCGAAAATGTCATCAGTGAGCTGGCAGCAAAATCTGTCTTAAGGTCACAGCTCTGCTGGGTAGTAGGGGCAGCCTTGCTAGTTAACTTGGGGGATCGGCAGAGATCGGATTAATCCATCACTTCTATCTTAAACATGGATTGTTCGAAGTTCACGCTTCGAGGCTTCAAAAATTGAAACAGGATGCCTTTTGTGCATCCTCGTGTATTTGAATAGCACAAGTCTCGGCCTATGTTATTGTCTATGTAGGTTATGCACAGGGTACTACCGGGCTCGCAAAAGGAACATAGACTGAAAAAATGCCTGCCTTATATCGTATAAGATCGGCGAGCTGAACTATCGGGTCGAAGACACCATAAAAAGATATGACAGCAGATACTAGGGAGAGGTGACCATCGACCTCCCCTCTGAGAGCATGCCTATGCTTACGTTCATTTCATGAAGTACATGGACGAAAGTCTTTGCATTAGCGGTATGCAAGTAATGAGTAAGCGACAGTCAGTTCTAGCAAATTTACTCAAAGAAATATGTGAATATTTATCTTCCTAGGTGGGTGAATATACCTTTATGTATGTTATGGGATGCACGAGTGAAAACTTGTGTGTCACTGTGTACATGTAGACCATACTTGTCACAGGAAAGACGCCCGCACTTCAAGATCTGGGTTTCTAACGGTTTTCCCACGAAATTACGTCCATGCGGTAAGTTCATGAGCCTCGAAAAAAGCGGATCCTGACCCAGATAAATCTATGGGCTTTACTGAGTGAGGCTTCATCAATCTCAAATGTCCGGAATAACGCATCAGGGAGCTGATTTCATTTGACGTTTATGGAGAGTATTACTTCTGGGAATAATGTAGACACAAATTTCATCTTAGTGATAACAAATACGAAAACAAGATTCAGAGGTGTATTTGGACTACTTGTAATTAAAATCTACACAAATCAATTAATATTACACCTTATTTTTAAGTATTTTAACACTTGATATAAACCCTCAATTAAATTTATCATCTTGATGAATGTAACATTGACGTAAATAGTTTATCTTGAAATCAGTTGTAACAACTCAGCCATACTCAATTAACCCGTTATTTAAAAAAAAATTGTGAACGACTTAAAATACAAATAAATTATTATGTTGTATCTGTCACAGATTGATTTCAGTTAGAGTATATTTGAGACTAGAAGGTACTCCTAAGCCGTTTCGTCCCAGCGGAAGACTCCTTAGTTCTATACATTTATAATCTCACCATGGATCAGTGTTCAAATTCACAGTGGAACTCGAACCCAGTACCCACCACTTTAAACAACAATGTGTCATCTTAAAAAATTGCTGAATCCGGATAACCACTAACTTTGTCAACGAGTGTTAATTCGCATATGAGGGGTTGAATTTTCTCGTAGTTCATATCAAGGATTGGAGATGAGTATCAACAATGGTATCCAGGTGCATTCAAGTGACGAGTTATTCTAAAATTTGTTACCAAAGGCTATATATCAATACAGTCCACTCAGGATGTATAAATGACATCAGAGATCGATTATATTTAATTTTCATCAGGAAATTAAAAACTCTTTAGTATAGAATAACGTAAATATAATGTCCAGTAACTTTTCATATTTATAATGTCTACTATCGCAATTCAAATAAAAAGAATATAGCTAATTTAATAAGACAATGGAACAATCAATGAAACTAAACTTAACCTAGTCAAACATCTTGTTACTTTGTATGTGTGTTTCATATTTTTTTCCTTTTTTTTGCTTTTCAATTAAACCTCTACTCTTCGCCTCAATGAAGCACAATATAGAAACATATAATTATATGTTTTACAAGAAAATTTCATTTAAAACTCTATTCGAACTTAAAGAAAAAAGGAATTCAATTGAGTTATTAAATGGGTGGTTAAATATATTTGTTTCTTACTAAATGAAACGATACATCTTTACAACTTATTGTTGGCCATTATTCTGTGT